CAGGAGCAAGAGGGTCCTACACCTGTGTTTTGTGACAGCCAAGGAGCAATTGCAATGGCGCGTAATGCTGTGCTCCATGGGCTGAACAAGCACATGCATATCAAGTGGCATTGGGTGAGGAAGGAGGTGAAGAAGGGCACCATCTCCTTGCACTACATCAACACTACCAAGCAACCTGCGGATTTCTTGACTAAGCGGCTTGCAGAGCATCAGCATTGGAGCTGTGCCACCTTGTGTGGCATGTCCTTCAACTAAGGGAGGCAGCTTCAGGGAGCAGCTAAGGGATGAATGAGAGCACGATGAGGGGGAGATTGTTGTGCCAAAGCACTATAGTGGCACGGTCATCGCACTCCCATTCCGCCTACAAGCCTGCTCAGCTACTGGAATTTTGTGGGGTGGTGCTTCAACATGTGTTCTTCAAACCCTCAAAGTTTCAGAGTTTTTGAAGCAGTTTATAAGGCATGGCAACATTTTTAGTTTCAAGACTTATGGCATCCCGGAAGTGTGTGTTACTCTTTTTTGGTAACACCCGAGTTCATCATTTCGGCTGCTGACTCATCTACCGAGATCTGATTGGTCTGAAAATCGGTATGGCAGTCCTTTGCCATGTTGTGCAGGTGGTCACCGAGTTTCAGGACAACCCAGCATCGGAGCAGCACGTGACAGCTGTCGAAAGTTACAGTTCCGTAGTCATGGTGCACTGTTGGCAGCATTTCCCTTGCCACCCTTTCATTGTTGTCATGCCAATGGTGCAGGGACAGAGAATGAGACAAGAATTACAGCTGGTCAAGTGGGACTCTACCACCCTCCTTTTGAGAAGTGTGGTCTTCCTGGTAGCAGCTTGCAAGAGGGTGCAAGTGGGAAGACAAGCTGACTCATGGTTGGCTTGACTCACTATTGGTAGCCTTGAGTACAGCTCTGAACATCCAAGTGTGGTTGGCTTTGCTGACCTAGCTAGGACGTTTCCCATCCTTCTCTAGCCTTTCTCCCCTAGGAATCAACCTTCTCTGAGTTCCCAGGATGGTCCCAACCCCTTAAGAGTCCCTTAGGCAATGTTGTACTCACCTCTTCCTTGCATCAATGAAGCTACTCGTTTTTCAGCCGAGCTTACGTTTTTTGTTCACTACGTAGCGCATACACCTCTGATGAAAGCAAACCATATACCGTTGGAAAGCAGACACCCGAAGCTAACGTCTGTCCAAGTTTCAGCCTCGTTTGTTATCGGAGCTGATCGTGACGGCATTTTGAACAGAGGAGGTTTGAAGTCATCACATTCTGCTTAGGTGGTTTCAAGGGCATCTACGACCCCTAAGTGGACTCTAGACTATAACAGCACACACACCATGGCACTCCGTCCTTCCTCTGTTCCACTGCATGTTCCTCTGCCTGCTCCTCCTGAGTCCTCTCTTCCTGAGGTCCCTGACCCTGAGTCTGACCGAGCGCGTGCTGCCAGTCCCACTGTCGCTCGTCTCCTTGCCACTGCTGTCACTGACCCGTCCTTTGAGTCTGCTGCTGCTTCTGCTCTCATTGCTGAGCTACTTGACTTTGCTGCTGCTTGCCGTCTCGACTACGCCTCTGCTCTAGTTGCTGAGTCTGTGCCTGCCAGTCCTCCGTCCGTCGGGGGTGAGTGTGCTCTTGGCACGGACGTCCTTGAGGACAGGCACGAGGACTTTGAGTGTCTTGCAGCTGCTGTACCTCGTTTCGCCTCCTTGCTGCTTGCCCCTGAGGGAGACCCAGATGCTCCTGACATCCCGACCCCGCGCTCTTACGCAGAGGCGATTACGGGTCCTTACTCCTCTCAGTGGCAGGCAGCTATGGATGCCGAGATGGCATCCTGGAAGTCCACAGGCACTTACGTCGACGAGGTTCCCCCACCTGGGGTGAACATAGTCGATGGCATGTGGATATTCAGGGTGAAGCTGCCGCCGAGTTCTCCGCCTGCCTTCAAGGCGCGTTACGTTGCTCGAGGTTTCAGTCAGCGACAGGGAGTTGACTACTTCCAGACCTTCTCCCCCACCCCGAAGATGACTACTCTTCGGGTGTTGCTGCACGTAGCTGCTCAGCGTGACTACGAGTTACACTCCCTGGACTGCAGTACTTCCTTCCTGCAGGGCAGCCTGCACGAGGAGATCTGGCTGCGCCGACCACCTGGTTTCACTGGGTCGTTTCCTACAGGTACCCAGTGGAGCCTCCGCCGGCCAGTTTACGGTCTCCGCCAGGCGCCTCGCGAGTGGCACGACACACTCAGGACTACGCTTGCGGCTCTTGGGTTTGTTCCTTCTACAGCAGACCCGTCGCTGTTTCTACGCACCGACACCTCGCTGCCGCCCTTCTACGTCCTAGTGTACGTTGACGACCTCGTCTTTGCCACGGCTGACACTGAGGCATTGACCCTAGTGAAGTCCGAGCTGCAGAAGAGACATACCTGCACTGACCTGGGTGAACTGCGCAGCTACCTTGGCCTGCAGATCACCCGGGACAGAGCACGGCGCACCATCACACTGACTCAGTCACACATGGTGCACCAGGTCCTTCAGCGCTTCGGCTTCCAGTACTCCTCGCCACAGCTCACTCCTCTGTCTACCAGCCACTCGCTCTCAGCTCCACCTTCAGACGAGTCCGTAGAGCCGAGTGGTCCGTACCCAGAGCTTGTGGGTTGCCTCATGTACCTGATGACTTGCACACGACCTGACCTCGCGTACCCTCTCAGCCTTCTGGCTCGCTACGTGGCTCCCGGTAGGCACCGAAAGGTGCACTGGGATGCTGCGAAGAGGGTACTGCGTTACCTGTGCAGTACGTCGGGCATGGGGCTTGTGCTTGGAGGACGGGGTCCTATTGTCCTCACTGGTCACGCAGACGCCTCCTGGGTTGACGACTCAGCTACGCAGCGGTCGTCGCAGGGTTACACCTTCAGCCTTGGGTCCGGCTCGGTTTCTTGGCGGTCTACCCGCTCGTCTTCAGTTCTCAGCTCCAGCTGTGAGGCTGAGATCTACGCTAGAGCCATGGCTGCTCAGGAGCTACGCTGGCTCACCTACTTGTTGACCGACCTGGGAGAGCAGCCTCGTTCGCCTCCAGTCCTGTACGTAGACAACAAGGCCATGATAGCCTTGTGTCAGGAGCACAGACTGGAGCACAGAACGAAGCACATCGCTCTGCGATACTTCCTTGCTCGAGAGTTGCAGCAGCGTGGTCAGCTTCGTCTAGCGTACGTGGCCACTCGGGCCAACACTGGTGATGTCTTCTCCAAGGCACTTCCGCCTGGTGACCATCAGCGCTTTGTTACTGTGTTAGGCCTTGTGCCTACTTTGCCTCACTTACTTACTGCCTGACTCTGCCTGTACTGTGATCTATCTATATACCTGCATGCTTACACTTGTTAGGGTATGATCACTGTATTGTTTGTTCACTGTATATAACTCTGCATGTGAACTGGCCTTTTGGCCCTTTGCTTGTGCTCGGACTGTGTGGTGACTTTGTGATCCACCCTGAGCTTGCTTTGCTTTTCTTGACTGGTCTTGTGACCATTACTTGTTCTGGCTATCCCCCACTTCGCCTATGGGGGTGTGTCAAACATATATGCTTAGTTATATCTAGCCTTATTTCATGTGTTTACATTTGTCTAGGCTATAGTGGGTTTAGCCTTAGGGGGTACAGAATTCTCTCGACATTCTACTTGTACCCTTCCTTTCTTCCTAGTCAATCATTCTCACCTAAGGATTCTAACACCTATCTGCCGGTTTCTGATCCAAGGGTTGTTGTGCTAGTCAGCCATGTCCCTTCTGCTGGGTTTGTCCCATCTACCCTTCTGCCCCATCTGTCCCCACGCCCTGTGCACTGTCACAAGACATCCCAGCAGCGTAATCTAGGGCTGGTGGGAGCAGTAGAAGCAGCAGAAGCAGCAGTAGCAGTAGCAGCGGCAGCAGCAGCAGCAGCAGCAGCAGCAGCAGCAGCAGCAGCAGCAACAGCAGGAGCCGTAACACCGGCAGCAGAAGCAGGTGTAGCAAGGCAGTGGACAGCAGGAGCAACAGCATCGTCATTTGAGCAGCTGAGTGTTGCCGAGGGGAGCTTGATGGAGAGAGAAGCAGATAGGGCGGCAGGGAGGGAGGCAGGCAGAGAGGCTGTAGATGGGGCTATTGGATCGGGAGGAATTAGAGTGGTGGCACTGTCAAACTCATATGCTATAGTCTATCTAGGCTGTAGTGGGGTAGTTCATATAGGGTACAACACTTTGAGGTTTCCTACTTGTACCCACCTGCTTGATAGTTCAGTCATTCTTCCGTTCCTATTCTGACATGGTATTCTGAGCAGGTTCCCTAGTGGGAACGTTTTTTTTAGGGCCCACCACGACTTTTTTTTTCCTGCCCTGCCCGAAGCGCGCCCCGCGCCTGCCTCACCTGCGCCGTCGCGCGCCCTGCTCTAGTACGGCCCGTCAAGGCCCTGCCTTCGCTGGCCCGTCGCGGCCCTGCCTTCGCCGCCCGTCGCTGGCCCGTGCCGGCCCGTCCCGGCTCGTCGCCGCCCGTCGCTGGCCCGTCGCCACGCGTCACGGCCCTGCCTTAGCCGCCCACTACGGCCCTGCCCTGCCTTTCGCCGCCCGTCGCTGGCCCGTCCCGGCCCGTCGCCGGCCCGTCGCTGGCCCGTCGCCGCCCGTCGCCGGCCCGTCGCCGCCCGTCGCTGGCCCGTCCCAGCCCGTCGCGGCCCTGCCTTCGCCGCCCGTAGCGGCCCTGCCCTGCAGCCGCCCTGTCGCGGCCCTGCCCTGCTGCCGCCCCGGTCGCGGCCCTGACCTAAACCGCCAGCTGCGGCCCTGCCCTGCACCCGCCCCTGGTAAGCACCCGCGCCGCCCTGCCGCGCCGCGCCGCTCTGCCGAGCCGCGCCGCCCAGCCGAGCCGCGCCGCCCTACCGGGCCGCGCCGCCCTGCCGAGCCGCGCTGCCTTACTGCTTGCACTGCTCCTGCTGCTACTGCTGCTTCTGCTGCCCCTGTTGCTACTGCTGCTACTGCCGCTATGGCTAGCCCTACTGTTCTTACTTTTGATGCCGAGGGGCGTGCGGTTGACTTTGACGTGTGGGTTGACGACCAGCAGCTCTTTCTTCAGTGTGACTCTAGGGACGGGGTATCCCTTTTCGATCACACGTCCGGTGTCTCTACTGCACCTGCTGCCACTGCTGACAGTACGGTTCGCTCGCAGTGGACCACTCGTGACGCTGTTGCTCGCCTTGCTGTTCGTAGTCACCTGCCATCTGCTGAGCGCGCGCACTTTGGCCAGTACAAGACTGCTAAGTCTTTGTATGACGCTGTTGTAGCGCGCTACTCCTTCCCTGCCACTGCTGCCCTCAGCCGCCTCATGCTCCCGTACCTTTTCCCTGACCTTGCCGCCTTTGCCACTGTCGCTGACCTCATTACTCACCTCCGCACTAGCGACGCCCGCTACTGCGCTGCGCTTCCTACTGAGTTCTGTGCCAAGAACCCCCCGCCCATGTACATCACCCTTTACTACCTAGTCACCCGCCTCCCTGACTCCCTTGCTTCAGTCAGGGACCACTTTCTCTCCCTTTGCCCCACCGAGCTCACCGTCGACCTGCAAGAGGAGTGCCTCACTGCAGCTGAGAAGAGTATCTTAGCTGTAGGCGCTTCTCGCGGCGATCGTCCCGCCCCTTTCTTTGAGGGGTGTTCCCCTGTCCCCCTTCTCCCCTATGTTGCTTCCGCTGCTGCTGTCGACCTCGTTGGCACTGAGGAGGTCGGGGCTGCGTCTGCTCCTAGTGGGAGGCGCCGCAACAGCAAGGGCAAGGGGGGCAAGGGTGGTGGAGGGGACGGTGGGGGCGGCGGTGGAGGCGGTGGAGGCGGTGGAGGAGGCGGAGGGGGTGGCGGTGGAGGTGGGGGTGGTGGCGGGAGTGGAGGCTTTGGTGGCGGCGGTGGGGGTGGTGGAGGCAGCGGCAGCGGCGGTGGAGGCAGTGGCAGCGGTGGTGTAGGTGGAGGCGGCGGTGGTGCTGGTCGAGGTGGAGCCACGCAGCGTGGAGGCTTTGGTGGTAGCCAGCGCCAGCAGCAGCCGCGTTCCCGTGAGACCCCGTCGGCCTAGCAGCTTCGTGAGTGGTACGCTGGGCGTGGGAGGTCTGGGGGTGTTGGTCCCTGCACTTACGTTCTTCGCACCGGCGGGCGCCGTGGGGAGACGTGCGGGCTGCCACACACTGTGCAGCACTGCTTCGGTCGCCTGACTGACGCCTGGCGCGCCCAGTTTCCTGACGCTGTTGAGCTTCCTCGCTGGGGTGATCTGGTTAGGCAGAATGTTGCTATCTTTGATCTTGATTTCGATGCTATCCTTGCTGCCATGTATGCTGTGACTGATAGTGCTGCTACCTGTGTGTTCCCCCTGACCCAAGCATTGAGGCTGCTGCTCTAGGTACTAGTGAGTCTGCTGCTCCAGGTACTGGTGAGTCTGCTGCTCCAGGTGCTGGTGAGTCTGCTCTCTCTGGTACTGCACCTACTGAGGCCCTGCACACTTTCACATTTGACTCTGGTGCTTCGCGCTCCTTCTTTCGCGACAGCACCACACTCACGCCGCTCAGTCGGCCTGTCGCAGTCTCCCTGGCTGACCCCTCTGGGGGCCCAGTCCTTGCGCACTCTTCCACGGTTCTACCGTGTCCTGCGGCCCAGTCGGGCTTGCTGTCGGGACTCCACCTCCCCTCGTTCTCCACGAACTTGGTGAGTGGAGCTGACCTCCAGGACGCGTGGGTTGACCAGTTCACCCCTGGAGGTCAGCGTGTGACCCACTGCACTTGCTCTCGGACGGGCCGCCACCTGGCCACGTTCACCCGTCGGCCTGGGTCGAGTCTTTACACACTGACTACTGCATCTCCTCCGGTTACTGCGTCTGGTCAGGTAGCTGCGTCTGGTCAGGTGTCTGTTGCTGCGTCCAGGTCTAGTCCAGCATCTGCCCCCTGCTCGTGTCGTCCTCTGTCGCACGAGACTCTCCTTTGCCACCACCGCCTTGGTCACCCCTCCCTGCCTCGTCTTCGAGGTATGGCCTCCCGTACCCTTGTCTGTGGTCTCCCCCGGTCCCTCCCTCCCCTTCCTCCGGGGCCTGCCCCTACCTGTGTTCCTTGTGTCGAGGGCCGGCAGCGCGCCGCTCCTCACTCCTCCGAGTTCCCTCCGACAGAGGCCCCCCTGCAGACTCTTCACATGGACGTGTGGGGCCCAGCCCGCGTCCGTGGACAGGGTCACGCGCGTTACTTCCTGCTGGTCGTTGACGACTACTCGCGTTACACCACAGTCTTCCCCTTGCGCAGCAAGGGTGAGGTCACTGAGGTGTTGATCGACTGGATCCGCGGTTCCCGTCGCCAGCTCAGCGAGAGTTTCGGCTCGGACCTTCCTGTTCTGCGTCTGCACTCAGACAGAGGTGGTGAGTTTTCCTCCGACCTTCTGAGGGCCTTCTGTCGTGCGGAGGGTATCCGCCAGACGTTCACGCTTCCGGCCTCCCCACAGCAAAATGGGATTGCTGAGCGCCGCATTGGCATGGTCATGGATGTCGCTCGTACGTCCATGATCCATGCGGCTGCTCCCAATTTTCTGTGGCCGTTCGCGGTTCAGTACGCTGCGCATCAGATCAACCTTCAGCCTTGTGTCTCCTTGCCGGAGACCACACCTACTCTGCGGTGGACGGGGAAGGTTGGCGATGCGTCTGTGTTCCGTGTCTGGGGATCTCGAGCTTTTGTCCGCGATGCTTCCGCGGACAAGCTGTCCTCCCGTGCCGTTCCTTGTGTCTTCCTTGGCTTCCCCCCCGACGCACCTGGGTGGCAGTTTTACCACCCCACCTCGCGTCGTGTTCTGTCCTCTCAGGACGTCACGTTTGACGAGTCGGTATCTTTCTACCGTCTCTTTCCCTACCGCACTGCCCCTCTCCCCCCCCCGCCACTCTTCCTCGCACCAGGTGCTCCTCAGGTAGACCCCCTCCCCCCTCAGGGTCCTGCCCCCTCAGGTGTGTCCCAGGTAGACCCTGTCGAGCCAGTCGAGGTAGCTGTCGACTCTGGTGCTGCTAGAGGTGCTGAGCCTGCGGGTGCGGGGACTGGGGGTGCTGGGCCTGGGGTTGCTGAGTCCGAGGGTGCGGAGCCTGGGGGTGCTGAGCCTGAGCGTGTGGAGCCTGGGGGTGCTACGCCTGGGGGTGCTGAGCCTGACTGTGCTGAGTCTGGAGGTCCTCCGGGTGTCCTGTCACTGCGGGAGCCCCTCTCTCCGCAGTGGCTACGTGAGTGGTACGCTCGGCGCTGTTGCCGTGCTGCTGGAGCTACGGGGCCTGCTGCTGGTGGTGCTTCTGGAGCTGGAACTGCTGGAGGTGCTGCTGGTGCTGGGGCTGCAGGAGGTGCTTCTGGAGCTGGAGCTGCTGGAGGTGCTGCTGGTGCTGGAGCTGCTGGAGCCGCTGGTCCTGGAGGTGCTCGTGCTGGAGGTACTGGCGCTGTTGGAGGTCCTGCTGGTGTTGGAGCTGCTGGTGGTGCTGGAGCAGCTGGTCCCAGAGGTGCTCGTACTGGAGGTACTGGAGCTGCTGGGGCTGGTGGTGCTGCAGGAGTTGGAGCTGTAGGTACTGGAGCTGGTGGTGCTGCGGGAGTTCTAGCTGGAGACCTTGGAGCTGAGGGTACAGGTACTGTCTCTGCTGTTTCTGGAGGCGCTGCGCGGCCGCGGCCATACTACGTTCCGCTCCTTCAGCAGGTTCTTGGTCTCCCGCCTTCTACTGGTCCTACTCCTCCCTTACTGAGTCCACCGCCTGTCCAGTCACAGTCGCAGTTACAGCCAGTCTCTCCACTGCCTGGTCCTTCTCCTTACTCTGGACCGACTAGAGGTCTTACGAAGCGTCGTGAGCCTGAGTCTCGTCCTGCGTCGCCCGAGTCTCGTCTCGCGTCGCCTGAGTCTCGCCCTGTTCGCGCTGGTCGTCGTGTTTCACGTCCGCGTCCTCCTCCTGTCCCCGGTACACACTCTATGACTCTGCGTCCTTCCACTGCTCCACATCGTGTCCCTCTACCCTCTCCTCCTGCGTCCTCTCTTCTTGCACCTGCTGACCCGGAGTCTGACTCCCTTCGTGCTGCTAGTCCTACTGTCACGCGTCTCCTGACCACTGTTGTCACTGACCCTTCCTTTGATTCCACTGCTGAGTCTGCCTTCGTTACTGAGCTTGTCGACTTTGCTGCTCACTGTCGTTTAGACTACGCCGCTAGTCTAGGTGCTGAGTCTGCGTCTGTCTGTCCTCCGTCCGTCGGGGGTGAGTGTGCTCTTGGCACGGACGTCCTTGAGGACAGGCAGGAGGACTTTGAGTGCTTTGCCGCTGCTTTACCTCATCTCGTGTCCATGCTGCTTGCCCCTGAGGGAGACCCGGATGCACCAGACATCCCGACCCCGCGCTCTTACGCAGAGGCGATAGAGGGTCCCTACTCCTCTCAGTGGCAGGCAGCCATGGATGCCGAGATGGGATCCTGGAAGTCCACAGGCACCTACGTCAACGAGGTTCCCCCGCCTGGGGCGAACATCGTCAGTGGCATGTGGATTTTCAGGGTGAAGCGGCCGCCGGGTTCTCCGCCTGTCTTCAAGGCACGTTACGTTGCACGAGGCTTCAGTCAGCGACAGGGAGTTGACTTCTTCCAGACCTTCTCCCCTACCCCGAAGATGACCACTCTTCGGGTGCTGCTGCACGTCGCCGCTCAGCGTGACTACGAGCTACACTCGCTTGACTTCAGCACAGCCTTCCTACAGGGCAGCCTGCACGAGGAGATCTGGCTGCGCCGCCCACCTGGCTTCACTGGGTCGTTTCCTCCTGGTACCCAGTGGAGCCTCCGGCGGCCAGTCTACGGTCTCCGCCAGGCACCCCGTGAGTGGCACGACACACTGAGGACGACTCTTGCTGCTCTTGGTTTTGCTCCTTCCACTGCTGACCCGTCGCTGTTTCTACGCACCGACACCACTCTGCCGCCGTTCTACGTTCTTGTGTACGTAGACGACTTGGTCTTTGCTACTGCTGACACTGAGGCACTCGCCCACGTGAAGTCGGAGCTGCAAAAGAGACACACGTGCACAGACCTGGGTGAGCTGACAAGCTATCTTGGCTTGCGGATCACCCGGGACAGAGCACAGCGCACCATTACCTTGACTCAGTCACACATGGTGCAGCAGGTCCTTCAGCGCTTCGGCTTCACGTACTCCTCGCCACAGTCCACTCCTCTGCCTACCGGTCACTCGCTCTCAGCTCCACCTTCGGACGAGTCCGTAGAGCCGAGTGGCCCATATCCAGAGCTTGTGGGCTGCCTCATGTACCTGATGACTTGCACACGACCTGACCTCGCGTACCCTCTCAGCCTTCTGGCTCGCTACGTGGCTCCCGGTAGGCACCAAAAGGTGCACTGGGATGCTGCGAAGAGGGTGTTGCGCTACTTGTGCAGTACGTCGGGCATGGGGCTCATGCTTGGAGGACGGGCTCGAGTTGTCCTCACTGGCCACGCAGACGCTTCCTGGGTTGACGACTTGGCTACGCAGCGGTCGTCACAGGGTTACACCTTCAGCCTTGGCTCCGGTTCTGTCTCTTGGCGGTCTACCCGCTCGTCTTTTGTTCTCAGCTCCAGTTGTGAGGCCGAGATCTACGCTGGGGCCATGGCTGCACAGGAGTTACGCTGGCTCACCTACCTGCTGACCGACTTGGGAGAGGCGCCCCGTTCTCCTCCAGTTCCGTACGTCAACAACAAGGCCATGCTTGCCTTGTGTCAGGAGCACAGACTGGAGCACAGAACGAAGCACATTGCTCTGCGCTACTTCCTTGCTCGAGAGTTGCAGCAGCGTGGTCAGCTCCGTCTTGCTGACGTGGCCTCTCAGGCCAACACTGCTGATGTCTTCACCAGGGCACTTCAGCCTTGTGATCATCAGCGTTTCTGTACTGTTCTAGGCCTTGTACCTACTGTGCCTCACTTGCTTACTTCTTGATTCTGCTTGTACTGTGATCTCT